GAAATATTTAGAAATGGGCTTGAAAGTTGAATAAATTTTTCTTATTTTTTATATGAAAAAAATAACTTTGTAAAAGATCTGTTAATTTTGATTGATATTAAAATCAAAATTTTAATTTTTACCAAACAGAAACTTACTAAAAGAATGACTTAGTCTTCACAGTAAAATATGCATTATTTTTTAAACAGGTAGCTACTTACTTACAATCAAAATATTCATAATTTAATGGAGACTAAAATAATAATAATAAAAAAAAATTCAAATTTCAGAAAATTTATTCCCAAAATCTATTTCAAGAAGAATTGTATTATATTGTGTCCCTGTCATTATTTAAGTGATAACAATCACTGACAGTACTTGTTCCGGCTGTAATCCTCTTCTGCACCTATATAGGCCAATACCATCCTCAAAACTTTCTCCATTAACATAAGAAATGGAGATTAAAATCAATTTTTTCAGATATGTTGCACTCCGAATTCTGGTTCTTCTGGGTCTCTGTCATGTATCCTTTGCAGCGAAGAAGACATATATTGTTCACATGGCCAAATCAGAAATGCCGGCCAGTTTTGAAGATCATACTCACTGGTATGACTCGTCGCTCAAATCGGTGTCTGAGTCGGCGGAGATGCTGTATACTTATACTAATGTCATTCATGGATTTTCCACTCGATTGACAGCAGCAGAAGCCCAGAAAATAGAGAAGCAGCCCGGAATTTTGTCGGTTTATGAGGAGGTTAAGTATGAACTCCACACGACTCGAACCCCTTCGTTTCTGGGTCTCGATCAGAACGCCGCCGTGCTCCCTGAGTCTGACTCTGTGAGCGAAGTCATCATTGGAGTTTTGGATACCGGAGTCTGGCCGGAAAGTAAAAGCTTCGATGATACTGGATTTGGACCAATCCCAAGTTCATGGAAAGGAGAATGTGAAACTGGAACAAAATTCACTGCATCAAACTGTAACAAGAAATTGATTGGAGCCAGGTATCATCTTCATTTTATTCAATTCTTAGCGGATTATTTTCATAAACATCTGGCAGTTGAAACTTGAATTTTTGGTCTGTCTTCAATAGGTATTTCACAAGAGGCTATGAGGCTACTCTGGGCCCAATTGACGAGTCCAAGGAATCAAGATCTGCAAGAGACGAGGATGGCCATGGAACCCACACTGCCTCGACCGCCGCAGGATCGGTAGTTCCCGGTGCAAACCTTTTTGGCTACGCCGTTGGGACGGCGCGTGGGATGGCCACGCGGGCAAGGGTTGCTGTATACAAAGTCTGCTGGATTGGCGGATGTTTCAGCTCAGATATTTTAGCTGCCGTGGATAAAGCAATTGATGACAACGTCAATGTCCTGTCTTTATCCCTCGGCGGTAGCATGTCGGATTATTACAGAGACAGTGTTGCAATTGGAGCTTTTGCAGCAATGGAGAAGGGCATTTTGGTGTCTTGCTCCGCCGGGAACGGCGGACCTAGTTCGTACAGTTTGGCCAACGTGGCACCGTGGATAACCACCGTCGGTGCCGGAACCCTCGACCGTGATTTCCCTGCGTACGTTAGCGTGGGGAACGGTAAAAACTTTTCCGGCGTTTCACTTTATCGAGGTAACTCTTTGCCTGCTAAAATGCTCCCATTCGTTTACGCCGGAAATGCGAGTAATGTTACAGGAGGCAATCTTTGCATGACCGGCACGTTAATTCCTGAAATGGTTAGTGGTAAAATTGTGTTATGTGATCGTGGGGTGAATCCCAGAGTTCAAAAGGGTTCTGTCGTTAAAGCAGCCGGCGGCGCCGGAATGATCTTAACCAACACCGCCGCAAACGGGGAGGAGCTGGTGGCGGATGCCCATTTGCTGCCGGCAATTGGGATGGGCCAAATAACCGGTGACGCAATTAAAGCTTATTTGTTGTCTGACCGTAATCCAACGGCCACGATTATTTTCGAGGGCACAAAATTGGGAATCGAACCTTCGCCCGTGGTTGCTGCATTCAGTTCACGCGGCCCAAACTCGATAACGTCTGAGGTTCTTAAACCGGATATGATTGCACCAGGTGTTAACATTTTAGCCGGTTGGACCGGGGCAGTGGGGCCAACCGCGTTAGCTGAGGACGACAGGCGGGTCGAGTTCAACATAATTTCTGGCACATCAATGTCTTGTCCACATGTGAGTGGCTTGGCGGGTTTGTTGAAGGCTGCACATCCAGACTGGAGCCCGGCTGCAATTCGCTCGGCTCTTATGACCACAGCTTACACAGCTTATAAGAATGGTAAGATGCTCCAAGATGTAGCCACTGGCAAGCCATCCACGCCGTTCGATCACGGAGCTGGACACGTGGACCCCATATCCGCCCTCAATCCAGGACTCGTGTACGACTTAACAGTCGAAGATTATCTAAATTTCCTCTGTGCATTGAATTACACTACTCTACAAATCAACGCCCTGGCGAAGAGGAATTTCAGTTGCGATTCTAGAAAAACGTACAGCGTGAATGACCTAAATTACCCTTCATTCGCGGTATCATTCCCAGCAGATATGGGCAGTACCATAGGCAGTGGGAGTAGTACTGGTTCTAGTGTGGTGAAGCACACTAGAACACTCACCAATGTCGGATCACCTGGAATGTACAAGGTTTCAGTCTCTACTATGAACAGTTCAGTCAAAATTTTGGTTGAGCCCGAGACGTTGTCTTTCAGTCGAGCAAACGAGAAAAAATCGTATACAGTAACGTTCAGTGCAACCTCAATGCCTTCCAATACAAATGTGTTCGGGAGAATTGAGTGGTCTAATGGGAAGAATGTTGTGGGTAGTCCAGTGGCCATTAGTTGGACTTAAATCTTTAGCGTATTTATGGAAATTAAAAGTTATTGTTAACTTTTTTCATCCCAGGAAAAGGCATTGATGCTGGGGTTGTAATGCATGCATCTTTTCACATTATCTTGCTCAATGATACAGATTGGATGGATATTATGGAAAAAGAAAAACAAGAATTTGTAATATCAAATCTTGAGGCCCTTCTATTTCATAATTTTTGCAGCTGGCCCACAACACAACCCCTCGACAAGCTTTTTCAAGTCAAGCGATCCAACGCTTTTTAACACCTCTAATTGTGACATTATGTACAGTGAATTAGGAAGACTTGATTGAGCTTACGAGTAGTGGCTTAAAATGTCAGACTCGAGTAGTTCATATGCAGTCGTTGGAGTTTTGTTTTGTTTTCATCTTCTATTGAGGTCTTTCTATAACTCAAATCATAAGAAGGTTAAGAAGATGAGGTTGCATGCCCGTGATAGCATTTCAACACTCGGAATAATGATAACAAAGTGATACTGGAGTGGATGTACAAGAAAAATATTAAGGTAATAATATATTTTTCTTCACAAATTTTATGCATCTTGAAGTTTCTTTATGTCAGCCACTGTTTGGAAACGAGTGATGAATAAATGAATAATACTTACAATTGATAGCCGTTTAATTTATAAATAAATAGAAACGAGTGATGAACAAATGAATAATACTTACAATTAATAGCTCCACAATAACCTTTCCGTCTCTAATTATGACAACAGGGGAATAGAATGATGGAGGGTATTGATAATATTGGATTGTTGCATAAAATTTTATAAAGGTCTTGTGTTATGGTTTGCCTTAATAAGAGCATATTCAAGAAACTGTTTATTTTTAAAGACCGTATTTTATTGTTTAGAGAGTATCTATAAATTTAGAGAGTAAAAATTTTTGAAACACTCCAACATGCTCTTTATATTTAACACTTAATTTTACTATTCCCAAAATTTATTTATTTATTTATTTTATCTTTTATCTTAACTGGCGTTTTCTCTAGATTATTAAATTATTTTCCTACATTAAAAATTGAAATACTTTGAACGTATATAGATTCAACTTCTTCTTTTTTTTTTTTTTAAATTCAAAATGAATGAAACTCATGCTTAGAACACTTACATGGGACGAGAGACATTAGGAAGGGTCGACTTTTTCAATTTATTTTAATGGGTGTAATACATGGAGATATCAACACTTGATATTGTCAAGCATAGCCACAGACTTGTTCATAGCACCAGCAACTTTATTAGTACAGCCTATAAAGTATTATAAAATCATATTTTAGATCGAGATATATCATGTGACTTGGATAATATTGTAACAAGAATAGGATCACATGTTTTTTCTGCCAGTGAGTTTAAGAAATTGAAGATGGCCTTCCAATATATCGTTTCAAATTATTATAAATTACATCTCTCAAGTGATCCGCTAGCTAGCTTAGCTCGCCCTACTCAGGGCGATGTGGTGCTAAGCCAAGTCGGGGTATTTGATTATGAGCCAACTCACATTTAGCTCGTTCCATATCGAGCATGAGCTAACACATACGATGGATAGAATTGAGCTCGGCAATGGACGAATTGAGCGGCTTGATTCGACCCATTTAATACCCTTATGAATTTGATGTGTTGAAAGTACAATGGCCCAAATCTTTGAGGTAGCTTATCCACGAGTAATTTTATTGTTTGTTATCTTCTTGAGTTTGCATAACTTGTCCAATTGATTTCAGAATTTGCAGGCTACAATTTTTTTGAAGTAGGAGGCCATTATTCAGGTCTGGATTGTGCATTCTCAGCAAGATGTGAATGCTTTACTAAGTTGATAACCAATCACAAAGTGCCCGTTTGATAAGAATTAAAATTAAAATTTTAATATACTTCATCAATTATAATTAAAATTTACTAAAAATCTGATTTTAATCGGTATGGAAGCAAATTCTGAAAATTTCAGAACTTTTAAAATTAATTATATACCGGATATTCACTTGGGGAAGTGTAGCAACTGGACTGTGACGTGGCGTGTCTGAACCTTGGTTAATTGCCACATAGAGCGCCATTTTTTGTTGGCTACTGCATGGACCCACCCAAATGTCCACCGTTCTTCAGTATTTAAATTTTCAGGCTTTTATATCCCTATTACTTGCACAACTCCCCTTCGAATTAGCTTTCAAGCATTTTTACTCTCTCATCAGAAAATGGAAATTTTAATTGCATTCATATGCATTGTACTAGTTACTGGTGGTTCCGGCCAGTCTCCGTCGGTGGAGTCAACCACACCTGCGGCGGCAGCACCCACTATTTTTAATGTTTCTGTACCGACTCCAGATTCTACGCAGTTAAATTCTCAAACACCGGTGATTTTGGCACCAGCTGCTTCCGTTCCCACTCCATTTTCTGCGGCGGCGATCATGCGGCCGACAGTTTCAACTGCAGCTCCATTGTCCGAACCAATAAGCTTCCCATACAATATTTCTACTCCTGCTCCTGTCTTCACGCCGGTAAGCCGTCCACCGGTTGTTTCCACCCGGGCTCCAGCTCCACTTCAAGCGCCCATCGGCTTCCCCCCGACGACAGTTCCTGTCTATTCTCCAGTCTCATCACCGGCTCCAAGCACAAAACACAATGCACCTTCACCGACTCCATTTTCTTCACCACGCACCCGTACTCGGGCTCCAAGAAAGAAGAAGGGCAAGAAACACCATTCACCTTCACCATCTCCATCTCCATCTCCGGCTCCGGCGCCAAAGCCGCTTGTTCCATCCGAATCTCCTGGACCTAGCGCTGAATCCATTTCTCCTAGTCCCGCATCAGATGATGACGAGGTAGATTTCAGGTTAATCTCATTTTACAGGTTTCTTTACCTGTACTCCGTCCATTTAGTTCATGAAAAAACCCTAGTCAATTTATTGTGTTAAAATCTTAATTCACCACCTTAAAATCGAATTCTAATTGTGTTCAGGAGACTTACTGATTGTTAAAATGAACCAGCGTTATAATGTGCGCGCGCGCGTGCACACTGTAAAATTGCCCCTGTTTGGCCCCCATTACGGGGAAAATTTAATGTATAGAATAGTGTTTTTTGAAAAATGAGTGGTTGAAAAAGAAAGAAAAATTTTCGATTTACGTGTAATATTATTTTATGGAAGATTGTGTGGTTGAAAATAGGAGAGAAAAATAGAATGTAATGTAATGTAATGAAAATCAAACAAGGGCAAAATAATAGCGGTGTGTTTTGTTGTCTTAGGAACAATCTATTCTCCAAATTTTGTCTTTCTTCTTTATGAAAGCTTGTCTGCATACGGCGCATGATATCACAACATTATATTAAGAGCCTGTTCGGACCCGATTTTTTCATCCAAAAAATTAATTTTTTGTCCGTTATTTCACTATTTCAGTTGTCATATTTGACTTCTTCTCTCATAGGTGGACCACACTTTTCTCCTAACAATCAAAAAATCAATTTTCAAAATTACTCCCAAACAAGCTCTAAGAGTCCGTTTGGCATGATTTGCTTAATTTTTGTTTAAAAACTCATTTTAAAAGAGTTTCTTATTTCAAAAGTGCTTTTACAAAAAGTCAAATTGGACAATCTTTCTTTAAAAACTCTTCTAACTATTGGTTCAAAAGCAACTTTTGAGTCTTAAAAGCTCTTTTTGACTTTTCAAAAGTCATATCTAATGAACCCTAGATTAAAAGAAGCTTGTGGAAAACATTTGTCTCTCTAGGCGCACGGTAGCACTCTGTGCAGGGTCTGTATTATTTCTTGCATTGGAAGAAATTAGAATTACCCATTTTTCATGATTATTTTGTGGGTTTATGATTTTAATTTGTGGAAATTTTCTGCAGAATGGAGCAATGAAATTGGTGGGAAGTTTTGCAGTGGAAGGGGCATTGTTTAGCTTCTTATTGTTCTTCTTCTAAAGACATGTGATTATGCTTCAAATATTAATTAATCCGATCATTACCATGTCTTTTATTTGTTAACATGTTTAGTTTCATTAATTTACATTTGCCATATCCTAAGCTATATTATATTTTGGTACAGAGTTTGAGGGGATTTGTTATATGGACCCGTTTGGTACACATTAATGTAAAAATGAGAATAAAAAATATAGCCTTTACGGGCTCCATACAAGAGATAAAAAAAATCAAATATGATGATTTGATATGATGAATAATGATCATATTTTTCATTTCAATGGACAAAAAATGGGAAATAAATAGGGGCATATTTTACGCGTTTCAAAATTTTATCAATTAATACTTTTCCTCAAGCTCTCAAATTCCATTTCACTAATATGGGCAGTGGAGTTTCAAGAAACCTACGTACAAAGATGGAAAAACAAATTTTTTGTATTGAAAAATCGTTAAACGAAAAGTTCAAAATAACGAAAAAGATGACGGTAATAAATGAATTTAATGATCATGTCTTTTATTTTTAGATCTTTTAAATTTCCATTTCTCTGTCTGTTTCGATTTATGTTTGGAATACGTTCTTCACTCGTTACGGTAAGATTTTGGTAATGTTTCGAAGTATTCCTGAAAAACATCTTTCATGTTAAACGACGAGTTCAAAATAATATATCAAAGATGACTTTTAAAAATATATTAATAATCCCATTGTATATTTTTAATTCCAATTTTGATATCACATTTTTGGCCTTTTTTTTAGGGAAAATTGCAACGTCGATCCCAAACTTTTCGTTTCGCTGCAGATTACACCCAAACCTTTAATTTTTGCGACCGAAGTCCCAAACCTTTATATGTAATATCAGTGTCGGTCCATTTCACGCATTCCATCCAAATTACCGTCAGTCAACAGGAAAATCTGCATTTTGACTCCAATGGAACATACTTCATGGGTAAAATTGTCAAAAGCAAATCTTCCGGTCACAACCATAGCCTTTGCAGCAAAAGAAAAGGGCCTCTACATCGACTAACAAATAGGGACGGATCTAGCTGCTCGAGTGAGCCAGGGCGGAGCGTGGAACATTTATCAAACACCGCCCAATATAACGATATTGTTTACTAATATTAAATTAATTTATATTAAAAGAATCTCCAATCAATATATAAATGCACTAAAATGTAAAATAATATAAATATTAAAATATAATTCAGTACAACCCAAAATAATAAGGAATAAAAATACATTTTTTAAGTCATATACTTATTATCAAGTTTCAAATTTTTATGAATTTAAGCGAGACAAGATGAAGTTTATATGTAGTGCTTAATCAATAAAGACAAAAATTTAAAAACAATGAATTTTAGAGCTATTTTTGTCCCCAAAAAAAGAAATGTATTTTTCAAACTCTTAGAAGAACAAAGAATTTTACAAAATAAATTGATAAAACTTAACAATTAAATTATATATTATGAAATAATAATTTCGGTCAATAAATTTTTAAAGGAATGATTTTTAAAGCTATTTTTACCCAAAAAAGAAATCTTTTTTTCAAACTCTTAAAATAATAAAGATCAGTAATTAAATTGTCCAAATTTGAATTTTACAAAATAAATTGATAAAATCTAATAATAAAAGTATATACTATGAAGTAATAATTTGAGTTAACAAAATTTTTTAGAAACAAAATCTAAAAATATAGAATTGTTTAATTATTATTTATTGTGTTAAAAAATTAAAAAGAAGAAGAGGAGGTGAAGGGAATCGAATCCCATACCTCTGATATGATAAAAATGGAATTCCCAATTGAGATACAAAGCTATATCAGTGTTAGTTAAAACAAAATAGAATACAATTATTTAACTATTATTTATTGTGTTTGAAAAATTAAAAGAAGAAGTGAAAAGGAGGGGAGTCGAACCAGGTGCCTCTCACTTGCAAAACCAGCGTCCTACCAAATGAGCTACAATCATAATTGTCAATGATGGTACAGTTTTACATATTTAGCATAATAACTTTATCAACATGAAATTCCTTTCCTACTGGAGCCAGCATGGGCGGCTGCGCAGTCTCGTCGAGTGCTGGCTCCGCCCCCTGCTAACAAACCTGCTGGAAAGAAGAAGTTCAAGGGGAAGGCACAAATTGATGAAATTGAAGTGAAATAGTACTAGCATTGATAAATTTATTGTTTGTTTTTGGGGCGTGGCTGAAAAAACTAATGTAATTAGTCAATGTGGGTTTTGTTTGGTGTTTGATACCGTATGATGTAATGTGTTTTGTTTTTGGGGAATGGCTGAAAATGTCTTTTTGTTGTCAATGACAATGATTTTTGGGTATATATTGCAGTGTTGATACCTTGTTGATTGCTTGTATTCTATTCTTTTTGGTCATCATAGCTATATTCAGAAGTGAACAATTGGGACCTCTGTTGCATTTTTGGACAAACGTTTGGGACCTATGTTGAGTAATTCTACATAGGTTTGGAACCTATGTTAACGTAGTTACAAAATGTTTGGGACCAATACTATGCCAAGTATAGAAGGTTTGGTACTTGTACTGCACCATCAATAAATGTTTTGGGATTTTTGCTGCATTTATAATTAATTCGAACTAGGCATACCACAGGTGAAGCAAATCATTAAGTTAACCACGTACTTCATTACGTACTTAATATTAGGCTCCCAAATATGGGAAATATAGCCATCAAAACAGCAAATCCAAAACACTAAACAATCATTCACTACAGACAGGCAGACAACATACAAGAAATTTAACAATAACACAAACATAGATCTAGTTACAAATCCAGGTTACAACAACCCTTACCACAAATTCTAATATCCGATTTCTCCTCATCTGGAGACAGTTTCCACATCTACACACGTTCAATTTCATGGTTGTCATCTGAAATGTAAAAGAGGGACAGTAGGGCAAGAATATAAAAAAGGAGGAATGGAAACGCGATTTGTTGTTGGGTAGTAGAAGATTTGCTTTTGACAATTTTACCCATGATGTAATGTTTCATTATATTCAAAATGCAAATTTTCCTGTTGACTGGCAGCAATTTGGACGGAATGTGTGAAATGGACCAACGCTGCAATTACATATAAAGGTTTGGGACTCCGATAGCAAAAATTAAAGGTCTGGGTGTAATCCGCAGTGAAATGAAAGGTTTGGGACCGGAGCTGCAATTTTCCCTTTTTTTATATTATGTTCATCCATCAGATAGGTTCTTGATACAATGTTGAAGTATAATAGTAAACTTTAAAACGTATTTTTATGATTGAAAAATACATTAATTATAATTTAAAATAACAAATAAAAAATTATTGGAAAAAAATGAATTTAATAATTCCATTTTTAAAGGGTTGACGATGGTCTCATTTATGCCCGTGGGGGAACTGAAACAAGAATTATTACGGGAGGACACACGATCTTCAGTCATTGCAGAACTTATTTTGTTTAAATATTTCATTATTATTTTTATTTAAAATATTACTGAATTATATATTAGTTTTTAATCATTATTATGTTCCCAATTGTATTTCCTTCATTGGTGTTTAGTTTCCATATGATAATTCTTTTATTTACCGGCAATTTCGTGCGATTATTAAATTTCTCGAATTATTTATTTTTTAATGTTACTGACTGAAAGTTAATTAAGTAAATTTAAATCATTTTTTGAACTTATATTTTATTGTCGATAAATTTAATGTGTATAAATATGAATAAAACATGTAATGAAACTAGAAATTCATTTTAACAAGATTAATCTATACAAGTAATTTTTTGGAAGAATGTGTGGTTACAAGTAAGAAAGAAATATAAATTTGTGTTCAAAATTTGTTATTAAGACAATATATAATTAAAATTGAATTTAGAGGAAAAAGGGAAAATTGCAACAACAGTCGCTAACCTTTTTACTTTTTACAAACTTTACCATAATGTTCAATTTGTGCCAACAAAAGTCCCTAACATTTCAGAAATATGTATCTTGAGTCCAAATGGATGGAATGACCCCCTTTTTTAATGGATGAAATAGTATTTTTTTTTTTTAAAGAATAAAATTAGCCCCATTTGGCTCCCATTATTTGATATTTTAATGGATGAAATAGTTTTTTTTTTTTTTTTTTAAGAATATGTGATTAAAAAAGAAGAAAACGTTTGAGATTACGTGTAATATTATTTTATTGAAGAGTGTGTGGTTGATAAAGAAGAGAAAGAAAAGTAAATTATAATTTTAATAAGAGTCAAATGGGAGCTCAACAGTTCCATGTACACCAATTGAATCAAACCTGACTAGAATATGCCGCTTCTGGTGCAGTTAGCCTAAATTTTATGGTCTATAAAAAAATTCTAAGCATAAATTTTCTTGTTTTATTATTGGATTAATGTCACTTGTATATAAAAGTTATATAATGATCTACGTACAAATAATGTGTCAAAAAAAAGAGTAAAGAAGTTTTTTCGATTGTGCTACATGTACATAATAAATTTACATAATGGTTTACATACACATGATATGGTGATATATGATGATGTTAGAATCTCTTCTGCAAACCCAAAAAAAAAATAAAAAATCCAATCTCTTTTTGACAAATAATTTGTATGTAAATCATTATGTAACAGTTTATATACAAATATCATTATTCAAGTTTTTTCTTATTTGGCGAAAAAATTCTGACCCAATCATACCTCACAACATCATGTGAATGTAAATCATTATCTAGATATAGTATAATCATTACTCTTATATGTTGAAATATGATTGAGTTAGAATTTTTTCAACCAAAAAAATAATAATAATAAATAAATAAATCTTTTTTTTCCCTTTCTTAACACATCATCTATATATAAATTATTATATAACTCCTTTATGTACAAATAGTATTATTCTCTTACGAGATGGTAAATGGGGAATTATTGCGATTTTGATGGAAAAATGAAAAGAACATTCTCTTTTAATTTGAGATGGGGTTACGTGATTTGAAATGAGAATGCTAGTTTTCCCAAGGGTAATTGGCGCAAAATCCCTTGAGCTTTGCATTTATTGCGAAATGCCACCTATTATTTCAGATAGATGGAAGCTCTTATCGTTTAAGTCCATTAACAG